CGCAGCCAGCGTGAGTCGAGGCTGATAAAGTTCTTTCCTTTTAAGTCTGTCTGCCTGTCGTCTTTGAACGAGCGGAGAAGGGGGGGTCAGAACAGGCTTGCCATTTAGAATCCCTGCTCCATCATAATACACACTCCATAATTGCAGTTCCTGCTATGTCCCTTCTTGATGACCAGCATAGAAGCATTAAACCAAATCCTATTTTATATGGCACAAACATGGAGAAGGAAGAATGTATTGCGTGGATATTCTGACAACGATTAGTAGTATGCATTTCTTCACTGGGCTCTGCAGGAAAGGATTCTCCTCACAGGAGAGAAGATATTGTGACTAGCCCACTTTCTCATATTAGACGTTTTTCCGTTACACCAAAAACACAGGAGAAAGCCGATTAATAGGTCCCATGTCTGAAAACTAACTTATTTGTTTGGGTCCTTATATTATCCCCCTTTAAATAATAAACTTTATTAATGTAAGGTCAGAGGGAATTATTCCTTTGCTGTTCTTCTCTGGTCTTGATTGTTGCTCAGGAGTTTTGATGGGCTTTATCTCAGATCAGACATCATCTAAATAAGAGATTACTTCTTAGAAGAGTATGGAAATATTTAAATAGTATTGTTCTGTCAAAAATAACATCTTAGGAAGACTATAGGTCAGAGTTATGGCAATTCATTGCAATAGCCATTTGAAATTGCAGTATATGCTGCGCCCATATGTCTACGAAGATGTCGCCAAAAATGATGAATGAATTTGCTCCCTAGTCCACCAGTCTAGAGTGGATTAAGTGATATAAAAGGGATAGGCTAAGCAATGCAAAAAGATAGTATCAAGAATTTCTCTTCTTTCCCCCCCAATTTCAGAGGAACAATTACTGGTATATCCTAAAAAGGATGGATAATTACAATACCAACTTTTTTATTTCCATGCCATGGAGACCATCTCAGGGAAATCCAGTGGCTTTAAAATACATTTAGCAGGATACATACAGCCTACTAATTCCACTGTAGACAATGCATCTAGAATAAAAGTTGAATGTTTTACTTATTTATTTCATGTACTCTAGAAATCAGAGCACAAAGCTTTTAATCACATAGCAACAGCAATAGCTGACTTATATACTGCTTCATAGGGCTTTCAGCCCTCTCTAAGCGGTTTACAGAGTCAGCATATCGCCCCCAACAACAATCCGGGTCCTCATTTTACGGAAGTGCAGNAGAGACACTCCTTTTCCTATTTTCTGAATGAATTTGCTCTTTTTTTAATAAGATCTTATATCTTTCCCCAAACTCATCCTGTTATCCTTCTTTAACTCTCGCTCTATTAGTCTAAGTACCTAACTTTCTTAATTTTACAGCTCTTCAATCCCCAAATACAATTGTTAATCCTGTTCTTGTTTTGCTATTCGTCTGTCTCTCTCTGTTCACAATGGAGTATATATATATTGCAGACATATGCATTCATTCCAGGCAAGGATTTACTGTTTACTGTTTATTAAATTTATAGGCCGCCCAATCCCGAGGGACTCAGGCAGCTTACAGAAACAAAAATATTAAGGAAGATTAAAAACGAATAAAACACAACAGATTTAAAAAAGACACAACATGCACTCAGTCTAAGTGGGGCTGGACCTCAATCCAGAGGTCAGCAGCCCCAGGCCTGCCGGAATAGCCAATAGCTTTTCAGAAGGCCATGAGAGTGAGTAGGGTCCGGATCTCTAGGGGTAGCTCATTTGATAGGGCCGGAGCTGCAACAGAGAAGGCCCTCCCCCGGGGGGTCGCCAGCCGGCATTGGCTGGCAGATGGAATCCGGAGAAGGCCAGGTCTGTGCGATTGAATCGATCTTTGGGAGGTAATTGGCAGAGTTCTTTACAACCTCCCACATGCATCTTGCTTTTGCAATGATTTTTGTTTGATAAATAAGTTTGGGAAAAGTGACAATGATGCTGCATTTTCTCTATTTGTAGATTATATCTCTATCTTGAATTTACAAAAGCCAAAGTCTTTGGTGGCAACAGACTTATAGCGCATTTCAACCTAAGAGACCACTTTTTCTGAGGTCTGCAGTGTCACCGAGAGCCAATTCTTTGGTGGCCACTCAACAGGTGTATATGTGGAGGGGAGATTAGTAGGGAATAGGCCTCTCAAATTCTCACTTGATTGTTTTCTGACTGAATGGAACATCTCAATTTAACCCCTTAGACCTTCACATATTCACATATTTTCACCAAAAAAAGATGGTGAATTTGATGCCTCAATATATTCAATAAAAACATTAGGACTTAATAAACTCTGATCATATTGTAAATGTACTGCAGGATTACAAACAGCTCTTTCTCTTTTCACTTTATGTCCAGGTAAATATCATTTAAAATTGCACTCTGCTTCTGTACCTAACATGAACCAATAGCTATAAGCAAGAACATAATAATCTGATGCCCAAGTAACCGTACCACAGCTTTGAATTTTCTTCAAAACCATTTATTACCTCTCTATGCCAAATAGGATTGGTTGTATTACTGATGATATTGGACCGCCTTTCCTGCCCGTGATGTGCAAATGTAGGAAACGTTTTCTTTTTTCCAGGCTGAATGGACATCTTTAGATAAGGGTCAGGATTGAAGAACATTCCTTTTTTAAGTCCAATGGCCCGAATATCTTTGAAAGAAAAGGCGAAAAAAAGAAGAACAGAGAATAATAATAATAATAATAATAATAATAATAATAATAATAATAATAATAATAATAATAATAATAATAATAATAGGACGT